CCAGGGAGGGAGTGGGCAAGCATGATAAAAAATGCCATGAAATCCTTGGGACATTTTGATGCAACTTTTTCTTGGTTGTGCATTTGTTTGGTTGCTGCAGATCCTTTGCTGGTTTCTAGAGTTCTCACAAAGCTGCTTTGGTCAGCACAGTGTTTACTCCATGTTTCTGTTGGGGGCGAGGGCCTGGGGTTCCTGCTCCTCTGCCTTGCCCACATCAGCCAATGTGTTAACCTTTGGTCTCTGGTAAAGTTACAGAATAATTTTGAGATTTGTCCATTTTGTGATAATACTGGGCTCACTCATTCTTTCCTTTTTAATAATTACTAATTAATGTTAATTAGTAATTATTTCACTGTATGAAAATACCACAGTTTATCTCCTAGTTACGCACTTTGACTTGCTTCGAGTTTCTGCTATTATGAAGAAAACTCGAGAATGTTACATGCAAGTCTATGTAGAGAAATTTCATTGATCCTGGCTACATACATAGAAGCAGAATTGCTGTATCACCGTATATATGGATGTCTAAATTTAGAAGAGACTTCCAAAGTGGTTTCTTCTTTGAAGTGTCCTATTTTGGGGTGGGTGTCATTTTATTGTTGATTTGGGGGGGCGGTTCTGTATTTTTTTTTATAGATATTATAGGGGAACTGGGGGAAGGGAACAGGGGAACAGTGAACAGTGTAGGGGAATTGGGGAAGGAGAACAGACAAATTGCTGTCATTTTGTTCTTCAGTCTAGTTGTGGAGGACGTCACATGACTGGCCCATGTTGGTATTATCCTTGTGCTCTTCCCAGCTGAGGCAGTTGCTCGCCAGCCATTGGACAGCTGCTCACAGCGGCTCATGGCAGTTCATGCTGGCTGCCGGCTACTCATGCCGGCTGCCAGCCACTCACGGTAGCTCACAGCATGACGACTGGACTTGGAGCTGAGCTAGCTGCGCCCTCCACAACTAAGATTGAAGGACAACAACTTGGCTGTTCCCCTCCCCCAATTCCCCAATAAAAAATCTTAAAAAAAAATTTGTTTTTGGGGCCGGCCAAGTGGAGCATTGGTTAAGAGCTGGCTTGGGACGCCAGAGGGCCCCGGTTCGGATCCCACATATGAGGGCCAGTGACACTGCCCTCTACAGCTAAGATGCTGAACAATAGCTCAACCTGGAGCTGGGCTGCTGTGAGTCACCGGCGATGGCGTAGGCTGCAGTCCCTGCTGCAGTGGGTTGCCATGGGCTACCGTGTGTAGCCAGCAGCCAACGTGAGCAGTCAGCAGCCGCAGTGAGCGGCCGTCCAGAAGCCGGCGACTGATCTGCCTCACCCGGGAAGAGCGCAGTGATGGTGCCAACTTGGGCCAGTGAAGCAACATCCTCCACAACTAGACTGAAGAACAAAAGGACAACAACTTTCTGTTCCCCTTCCCCCAATTCCCAAGCGCTGTTCCCACCCCCCAATTCCCCAACAAAAATCTTTAAAAAAAAAAGAGAAAAATGAACAATAATTAAAAAAAATTGTTTTTGACCAATTTCTCATTTTTTCCTAAAGATACTGACCAAAGAGGTTAGTACATTTTCTGTTCTAAGACATCTTTGCCTAAGGCTGTGAAATTATGCTCATGTTTTCTTCTAGAAGCTTTCAAATTTAGGTCTAGGACCCATATCGAGTTGATTTTTGTGTATGGTGTGGGCAGGGGCATCAGGGTTCAGTTTTTCCCATATGGTTATGCAGTTATTTAGTGCTATTTAACAGAAAGACTTGCCCTTCTCCTGTGAATTTCTTTGGCACCTTCTTTGAAAATCAACTGACCATATAGCTGTGAGTTTCTCTTAGTCTGTATGGGCTGCTGTAACAGAATACCATATATGGGGTGACTTATAAACAACAGACATTCATTTTTTTCTCATAGGTCTGGAGCCTGGGAAGCCCAAGATCAAAGTCTGGCAGATTTGGTGTCTGGGGAGGGCCCACTTCAAGGCTCATAGACTGTATCTGCACATAATGGCAGGGACGAAGGAGCTCTCTGGGGCCTCTTTTCTAAAAAACATTAATCCCATTTGTGAGGGGTCCACCCTCATGACCTAATCACTCCCAAAGGCCCCACCTCCAAATACCAATACATTGAGTATTAGGTTTTAACATAAGAATTTGGGGGGGACACAAACATTCAGCCTATGTTAGGGCTTATTTCTCACTCTTCTGTTCCATTGACCTATTTGTCCATCCTTTTGCCAAGACTACACTATTTTATTACTGTGACTTTGTTTCTTCCTTAAATGTTTTATAGAATTCACCAGTGAATTATATAGACTTGGAGATTTTCTTTGTGGGAAGGTTTTAAATTAGAATTTCAATTTTTTTTTCTTCTACCAATATGGGACTATAGAGATATCCATTACGTTTTTTAAAAGCCTGCTTTTTAAAAATTTTTCTTATTTGGTCAATTGTTTTCTAGTTCACTGATGTCTGTTCTTTATTATTTTTTCACTTCTGCTTTCTTTGGATTTAATTTTTGTTTTTCTAACTTTTTTGAAGTAGAACTTTAGATAATTGATTTTTAACCTTTCTTGTTTTCTAATATATGCATTTCATATATAAACTTTCCCTCTGATGATTCATTTAACTGCATCTCACAAATTTTTATTTTTTTTCCATTATTTTTTGGTTCAACATATTTTCCAATTTCCATTACGATTTCTTCTTTGACCAAAGGGATATTTAAAATTATATTATTTAATTCTCTAATATTTGGGCATTTAAAAAGTTATCATTTTATTACTGCTTTTTAGTTTAATTTCGTGGTGGTCAGAGAAGGTTCTACATGATTTCAACCCTTTGAAATGTATTGAGACTTCCTAGCATATGGTATATTTTGTGAATGTTGCATACGTTTTTAAAACTTTAATTCTTCTCAGTAATATATTGAGGGTTTAGTGTAAAGGTTTTGACATCTTTCATTAAATACAATGTATTCTGTATTGTTTTGTGGGGGTACTATTTAGGTCAAATAGGTTAATTGCTTCAAAATTTTTTCTGTATCTTCATTTGTCTTTGTGTCTGCCTGTCCTAACAATTACTGAGAGGAGTTTTAAAGTCTCTAATTATGAGTTGTATTTGACTATTTCTTCTGATTCTATCATTTTCTCCCAAGTACTTCAAAGTTTATTTGGTGTATATACGCTGAAAATTATTTTTTTCTTAATGAATTGACCTACTTACCTTTATCATATGTCCCTTTATTTCTGGTGACACTCCTGTCTTGGAAATCTGCTTTGATATTAACATAGCCACTCTAGCTTTCTTAGGATTGGCATGTGCATGATGGGATGTTATCCATCTTTTTAATTTCAACCTCTTTGTGTCCTTATATTTAAATATGTCTCTTTTAAACAGCATATATTTGGGTTTAATTTTTATCCAATGTGACAATTTCTGTGTTTAATTGGAGTGTTTAGTCCATTTTCATTTAATGTAGTTACCAATACAGGTGGATTTGAGCCAAACAGCATGCACTTTTGACTGTTCCGTGTGCTTTTTGTTCCTTCTTTGGACTGAGTATATTTTAGCATTCCATTTTCTTTTCTTCTCTTGGATTTTTAACTATTCCTCTTATTTTTTTTATTAATTGCTTTGGGGATTACAATGTTTTAAAAATTATCACAATACACCTTGAATTTGTATTCTGTCACTTAACCTACAGTTTAAACCCCCCCCCTTTTTTTTTTAAAGATTTTTATTGGGGAATTGGGGGGATGAGAACAGCGCTGGGGAATTGGGGGAAGGGGAACAGAAAAGTTGCTGTCGTTTTGTTCTTCAGTCTAGTTGTGGAGGATGTTGCTTCACTGGCCCAAGTTAGCACCATCATTGCGCTGTTCCCGGGGGAGGCAGATCAGCCGCCGGCTTCTGGACAGCCGCTCACTGTGGCTGCTGGCCGCTGGCTACACACGGTAGCCCATGGCAACCCACTGCCACAGGGACTGCAGCCTACGCCGTTGCCTGCGACTCATGGCAGCCCAGTTCCAGGTTGAGCTGTTGTTCAGCATCTTAGCTGTGGAGAGCAGTGTCACTGGCCCTCATATGTGGGATCCGAACCGGGGCCCTCTGGCGTCCCAAGCCAGTTCTTAACCATCGCGCCACTCGGCCAGCCCTAAAAAACCCTTTTGAATCTAACTTTGAAACTCAGTCCTGAGCAGGAAGAAGCAGTTTTCTGCTGACTGCAAATGTGTGGGCTAGGAACAGAAAAGTCACTCAGAGCCTTGTTGTGAGGCAGTGCAGGCACCTCGGTGCTTATGGAGAAAGTGTCCTCTGAATATTGAGACAATTCACAGATTTGGTCTAGCAGCAGCCATCTGCTGTCAGTTTTTGCGTTATTCGGAAAACAGGCAGGGGTAATTAGACCTCATGGGTTTCATACACCTGATGGGCATCCCTGTTGTTCTCCCTCAGAGCCGGGAGGGAAGTTGAATTGAAGCCTGCGTGTGACAAGCTCACTCCATTCAGCGTTCCCACATGTCACTTAACTGGCTTCTCTCGAGATTGTTTTTTGGGTCCAGTTTAAGGCCATTCCCACAAGCCTGGGCACGCGTCTATCCCTTGTGCAGATGTGATTCCTGCGGGGAACGTCACCGTCTCCTCCTTGGCGGTGGGGCGCCGGCCGGCGCGCCTTCGGTGACCCCCAATTATTGTGCAGCTCATCCCACCAACTGCCGCTCCTCGATCCCCGGGATAGGGTGCAGACCCCCGCAGAGACGAGGTGGCCCAAGCCGGCAGGTGGACCCGGGAGCACCCTTGGTAGAGGGGCAGAGCGCGGCCACTACCGCTGGGGCGCGAATCCTCCAGCCTCCCGCGCGGCGCGCGGAGAAGGGCCGAACCCCGCTGCGGCCCAGCGCCGGGAGGAGCGCCGGGAGGAGCGCCGGGAGGAGCGCCGGGAGGAGCGCCGGGAGGAGCGCCGGGAGGAGCGCCGGGAGGAAGAGGCGGAGCCGGGCAAGGGCGGAGCCGGGAGGAAGGGCAGGAGCCAAAGGAAGGGGCGGAGCTGGGAGGAAAGGACCGATTCGGGAGAGCTCCCGCCCCGGGAGGAAGGGGTGGAGGCGCGCGCTTCCTGGCGCATTCCCGGCCCGCCCGGGTGACTCACTCTCGCAGGAAAGTCCCGGGCCTCCCGGACCCTGACCCGCCGCCGCGGACCCAGGTAAGGAACGCCGCCGCCCCCGCCCCCGCCCGCCCGCCACCCGCGAGCTCCGGGCCACCCTCGGAACCCGGCTGGCACCAGAACCCGCCGACGGCCCGAACTCGGCCTTGCGCAGAGCGGCCGCCAGGCGCACAGCCTCGGGGCCCCTCCCGCTGCCGCGCAGCCTGACCCCGGGTCCGGCCCCGCACGTGTCGGAGCTCCGGTGCGAGGGCGATGTCGGCGCGTCGCCGTTAGCGTTGGAAAGCTGGAGCAGACGACTCGCACTGCGGCCGTGCGACCAGGCCCGGGCCGGCGAACGGACACTGGCCCGGGAAGCCATTTGCAGGCCCCTGGACTGCGGGTTCGGGGCTGGGGCACCGGCACCCGGGTACCGCCCGGCACCGACCTGGGGACGCTGAGCCCCAGATGCATCCCTCCGTTTGCAGTTGAAATGTGTGAGGTGAAGGTGGGAGAGCCGTGTGGCAACGCGGCTTCGGGAGCGGTTTGAAGCTGAAAGGTATCGGGCCGCGTCCACTCCAGTGCTCTGTGTACACGGCACAGGAGCGGCGGCGTGGCCACGCCTGCTTGGGTGACCCGCGCGTCTGTGAGCGTTTCTTTCCTTTGGCGGGCGGGCGTGTGCCAACCCGCACCCTGTCCTGCGCGAAACTCCGTGACCCCGGTGTTGGTTCGTGACCATTTTCTGAGACACGCTTCGTGACTGAAGCAGCACTGATACCCGGCACCGGCACCCACTCGGAGCATCTTGGTGACGGTGCTAGAAAGCCCTGTCCAGGTTCCCCTGACGCTGCGGGCTCGTGTGCTGGGACGGGCGAGGGTCCCTTGGGTGCGGCCTCTCATGCCTGCAGGTCGCTAGTGGGTGTCGGTGTGGCGAGATGCTCAGGCAGAGCCCCAAAGAATCACGTTGTAAGGAAACGTGGGCCGTGCAGGTTTGCGTTGTAGTTCCACGCTGTGCTTTTCCCAGCTGCATCAGCTGTGACTGAGGCAAGCAAGGAACTGTGGGGGCAATTTCCTGCGTTAATACATATGTTTGTGTGCTGATAGATGACGCAGACACCATCTAGTCCCCAAGGTTTTTTTTGGTTTTTGTTTTTTGAACGTGTATTTATTTGAATTTATTTTTAAATTTACACATGGTAAAATTCACTTTCTGGTGTACAGTTCAATGAGTTTTGACAAATGCATAGAGTCCCGGGACTTGCACCACAGTCAGGATACAGAGCCGTTCCATTACCCCTAAAATTCTTTCATGCTGTCCCTTTGTAGGCACCTCTTCCCCCACTTTAACTCTTGGAAACCACTGAGCTGTTCTCCATTCCGACAAGTTTTGCTTTTCCAGAATGTCTTCTGGCTTAGTTTATTAACATAATGCATTTAGGATTCATCCATACTCTAATTTGCCCCTGATGGGTGCAGACATAAAAGTGTGAAAAGTGTACCTCTAGATACAACCTGAGAGATTCAAATGCCATTTTTAAGTCATGAGAAACATTACAGAACTCCAGCTCATTAAGAAATTCAAACAGTACAGAACTACTTATACTAAAAGTGAAATTCCCCCAGCACTTCTGTCCTAGTATACAGCCTTTTTGTGTGTGTGTGTGTGTGTGTGTTTTGGTAACATAATGAGATTATATTGCATATATCCTCAGACGTTTTCACTTGAAAATCTTGGCTCACCTAAAGATCCTGGAAATCTTTACATGTTGGCATATCCAGTATATATATTTCAGATTTCCCTCATTCTTTCTAATGACGGTATGGTGTTGCATAGCACAGACATACCATAATTCATTTAATTCGCCTCCTGTTAATTGACATTGCTATTTTGCATTTGTCACTACCATAATCAATGCTTTTGTCGGTATCTTTGTGCACATGCTCAAGTTTATCATTCTGGAAGTGAATTGGGGTTTAAATAATAGCTAACGTTTCTTGAGTACTTATTTGGCTTCAGCATTATTTTAAGCCAGGGTGACTTTTCCTGGGAAGGGCCAGATAGTGAATATTTATAGCTTTGTGGGCCATATGGTTTCTGTCACAACTACCTGTGCTGTTCTAGCACCAATGCACCGTAGACGGTATGTAATGTATGGGCGTGGTTGTGTTCTTCCTGTAAAACGCAGTGGGCTGTAGTTTGCTACCTCCTGTTCTGTACTTTGCGTACTAACTATTCTCATAGCCATCAAAGGTAGGTGTAATTATTATTCCCACTTTGTGGATGAGGAAATTCACAAAGAGCGACAAAGTATGTGTCCAAGTTTACATGCCTGGTAAGTGGCAGAGCCAGACTTTGACTCTGACTATCTGACTTGCACATTCCAAGTTAAAAATGAGAAGGAAGCTGCCAAAAATACCTTGCTCAAAATGTTAGACCCAGGGACCTGACTCTCATACACTTACTGAGTCACTCACCTGTGATTCTCTGAAGGCACCGTGCTTATGCTGGCTCAGATACCACTCCAGGAGCACCTGCCTGGTGGCTCCCCACGGGGGCCAGTGTTCCCTCTGCCCTCTCACTGTTTGACTGTCTGTGTCCTGGCTTTAGAGCTGGTTTCACTAGCACCAGCTTATAGAGAAGTCAGCTCAGTCAGCACCCCACCACCCAGCTAGCCAGTGGGAGGAAAGACCGAGATGTGGGCAGGTGAGATCGTGTTGGGTCTTGACAAGACGTCTTCTCCAACATGATCACCTGAGCCCAGGTGGGCTTCTTGCTTGGCCTACCTTGGCCTATTTTCCTAATTCAGTAACGTGGAAAAAGTATATTAGGTTGTTAGGAAGATCAAATGAGATATGATATAGGAAAAGTACTGTGTAAGGGACAGTTACTATTAGTGCTGTGTTTCCTAAAGCTTTTATGTTAGAAAAATGTATTTTATAGTGTGAAATTTTACAGTGTGAGATTTTAAGTAACCAACCTATCCCATCTACTCTTATTTATTTATTTATTTTTGCGAGACACCCCTTAGCAGCCACAGGTATAGCATGGATTAATTACAGCTACATAATTAAAAAATTTTATTTTAGCCAGCACAATAACATGAGAAAAAGAAATAAAAGGAAAGGGAAAATAAAACTGACCCTATTTGCAGAAGACATGATTATCTACATAAAAAATCCAAGAAATCTATGAAATAACTATTAGAACAAGTAAGTGAGCTTAGGAGGATCACAAAATACAAAGTCAACACATATAAATCAATCTTATTTCTATATACTGCAATGTACAATTAGAAAAAGTAAAAATTTAAAAATACCATTTTCAGTAGCTTCAAAAAAATCAAATAGCTACAATTCTGATAAGACAGGTACAGAATCTGTATGCTACAAAATGACAAAATGCTGATGAATGAAATCAAGAACATGTAATAAATGGAGAAGCAACTGTGGTGTGGTTTGGAACACTCAACATGGTACAGATGTCATTTCTCTCCAAACTTGACCTATAGAGTTAACACAATTCCAATCAAATGCCCCAGCAAAAAATATTTTATTTTTTAAAAGATTTTATTTGGGGAATTGGGGAAGGGGAACAGCCAAGTTGTTGTCCTTCAATCTTAGTTGCGGGTGAGCGTAACCCACCATCCCATGCGGGAGGGAGTCGAACCAAGCAACCTTGTTAGGAGCATGTACTTTCACCAGCTGAGTCATCTTGCCACCTGTTGGCAACTTAGTGGCAGCTCAGCTGGGATGCAGCTCACTGGCCCACGTGGGAATGGAACTGGCGACCCTGTTGCTCAGAGCTCGTGCTCTTAACCAACTGAGCCATTTGGCTGGCCCCTCTGTTCATTTTTAAATCATGTTGTTTGTGTTTTTGTTGTTGAGTTGTAGGATTTTTAAATATATTTTGGATAGCAATCCCTCATCAAATATATGATTTGCAAATATTTTCTCCCATTGTGTGGGCTGTCCTTTTACGCTCTTGATAATGTCCTAGGGTGCATAAGTTTTAAAATTTTATGTCCAGTTTATTTACTTTTTCTTTTGTGTCCAGTGCTTTTGGTGTCATAGCCAAGAAATCACTGTGAAATCCAGTGTCATGAAGCTTTTCCCCTGTTTTCTTCTAAGAGTTTTATAGTTTTAACTCTTATGTTTAGGTTTTTTATTCATATGCATTAACATTTGTATATAGTGTAAGATAATGGTTCAATTCAATTGTTTTGTATGTGAATATCCAGTTTTCTCGGCACCATCTGTTAAAAAGATTGTCTTTTTTTCCAGTGAATGGTCTTGGCACCCTTGTGGAAAATCATTTGACCATATATGCAAGGGTTCATTTCTGGGCTCTCTGTGCTTTTCATTGGTCAATGTGTCTGTCTTTATGCCAGTACCCCACTGTTTTGATTACTGTAGCTTTATAGTAAATTTTGAAATCAATAAGTGTGAGACTTCCAACTTTGTTGTTCTTTTTAAAGATTGTTTTGGCTATTTTGGGTCCTTTGAAATTCCATATTAATTTTAGGATGGGTTTTTCTATTTTTGCAAAAAAAAAGCTGTTGGGATTTTGAAAAGGATTGCATTGACTCTGTAGATGGCTTTGGGTTATATTGTCATTTTAACAACATTAAGTCTTTTAATCCGTGAACATGGATTCTCTTTCCATTTATTTGTATTTGTAATTTCCTTCAGCAGTTTTGTAATCTTTAGTGTAGAAATCTACATTTAGTGTAAATACTTGTAAATACTTACATGGTGAGATTTATATCTGCCATGTTATTAGTTGCTCTCCTTATATCTTGTATCTGGAGAACCTTGGCTGTGGGGGGGAGTGGGGGGACGGGGGAGCACTTACCACAGCAGCTCTGTAGGAGCCAGGGCTGTGGGTGGAGTTCCCACACAGCAGCTCTGGCTTGATTTCACCTTCTCTAATAGGATTTCAGAGCATTCCAGGGATGCGATTTGCATTTGTTTGGTTTATTTCTGTGTTAAAGGGCTCTCAGAACATGGTCTCAAGAAAGTAGGGGTCTGTTTTTCCCTCTGTGTTCGTTTGAGCCTGGTGTGCATTTGTGCTGTTCAGGAGAAGCTCACTGGGCATTCATTTAACTGGCTACTCCCCATTCAACTTTATCGTGAGGGACTCGCATTCATGCATGGCTCTAGAGACAGAATTGATGGACCCTGTGTGGCTTTCAGATTTTTTTGGCTGTGAATAAGACAAATGGACTGTGATAGCTACTGTGACCTTGAAACCAGTGTATTTGTAATTTATAATCATCTCTCAGATACTCCATTAGCCAAACTTGTTAGGCACTGTTCTTTGTAGTGGAGTCTCGGGTTGCTGGGACTCCTGACTTCCTCCGTTCCAGCATCCTTGCAGGAAAAAAAACCTTTCCAGAGGGTTTGTGTATTAGTCTTCTAGGGCTCTTGTAACAAAGTACCACAGACCGGGTAACTTAACAGAAATTTATTTTCTCTCAGTTCTGGAGGCTGGACATCCAAGATCAAGGTGTTGGCGGGTTTGGTTCCTCCTGAGGCCTCTGTCCTCGGCTTATAGACCTCATATGGTTACCATCTGTGCCTGCCTGTATCCTGATTTCCTGGTCTTCTAAGGACACCAGCCATGTTGCATTAGAGCCCCCAGTGACCTCATTTTACTTTAATTACCTCTGTAAGGGCCCATCTCCCATACGGTCCCAGTCTGAGGTCCTGGGGATTAGGGCTTCAAAGTATAGATTTGGGTGGGGGGTGGGCACAATTCAGCCCATAGCAGTTCCTGTAGTTAAAACTCAGTGTTACCAAGCATTCCTCAACCCCCCACCCCCCGGACTGGCCCTAAGTGATGGGGTGCCGGTGAGCCCTCCCCTCAGAGCCATGGGTTCCCACTGCTCCTTGAGGACTGGGCTAGGCGTGTGGCCATCAGAGAGGCTTCATTCCTCTTGCTTGTTAGGGAAAAACACTGCTGCCCCTGTGTTCCCTTCCATCACCTCAAAGGATTATGTGGTGCAGTTCACAGTAGTTAGAGACCACTGGCCTGAATGTCCTTAAACACTGATCTGAAATGAGTTGAGCATTTGATGCTTTTCTTGGATGTGACAGAAGTTGACACTGAGCCTTTCTGTCACCCTGCTGCACTGCGGGTGGCTCAGCCTCTCCTGGGCAGAGGCAGGACAGAAAAGAGATCCTGTGAGCTCTGCGTGCGTGTGAGGCAGGGTGACTGGTTCTGCTGGCTGTGTGGCTGTCCCAGAGTGGTTGGCCCAATCTGTTTTCTCATTGATTGGTGGGGTTGGGGGCACGTAGGAACTGGATGAGCCCCCAGGCCACTCCTGACACATCCTGGGCTTCGGCCCTTAAGCGGAACTCGGGGCTGGGTCTGCAGGAGGCATGTCATCTTGCAGCCTGGCTCCTTGGAAGCCATCAGCTTTGAGGTGCCCTGCATGGACACCCCTGGGGCTCCCCACACTGGCTCTGTAGGGCAGAGGCAGATCGGGCTGTATGCTCTCATTGTCCTAGGCCTCACCTTTCTTGAGTGTGTGGACCAGGAAGTTGTGACAATAGAAGGAAGTTGGTAATGAAAGGAAAAAGGCTATGTTCCTTATTTTCAAAAATACCAGGTATTTTGAAAAATATCTGCTACATTTTAAATTTATAGTTAGAAACAAGTAGATATTCCGCTGTTGTCAGGAAGAGTTCCGTAAATGCCAGTTTAGGTCAATTGGTCCCGTCTGTGTTCAGCTCCCCTGTTCCTGCTGATTTCCGGTCAGTGACAGAACTCTCACAGCTCCTGCTGCACTTGTGGTTTCCTTCTCCTCTAGTCAGGCAGTGTTTGCTTGCTGTCCTCTGAAGCTCTTCTGTCAGTTGCATGCATTTGGCATTGCTCTGTCTCCGTGGTGAAGGACCTTCTATCGTTATGAGATGTGTCTCCTTAGCCTGGTAATATCCTTGCTCTGAAGTTTACCCCTCCCTTAGCCACTCCAGCTTCCTTTTGATGGGTGCTTGCATGGTTCACTTTTACCCTTTTACTTTGAAAACCTACCTGTGTCATTGTATTTGAAGTGTGTTTCTTGTAGCTGGCATATACAGTCACGTAAGGTTTCAGTCAACTACAGACCTTGTATACGATGGTGGTCCCATAAGATTGTAGTGGAGCTGGAAAATTCCTATTGCCTGGTGACGTCACAGTGTAGCAACACAATGCTACACTGTGACATGGTGACTGGTGTCAACAGACCTACTTACTGTGCTACCATCTAGTCTAGGCGTGTGAGTGCATTCTGTGACGTTGGCACAACTGGATCCTAATGACACTTATCAGAACAATGCCTGTCATTAAGCAGGGCTTGACTGTAGTTGGATCAGGATTTTTGTATCCTTTCTGACAGTCTGTCTTTTTTTTTTTTTTCTTTCAAAGTTGCATAAAAGGAGTTTATTAGGAGAAAAAATACATTTCAAAGAAGCAGAAGTGGGCTGAGCAGTAGAGAATGGCCCAAGGGCCATTATTAGAAGAGAAAGTACACTCTAAAGAGTTTGGAGCTTGCCGAGCAAAGGAGGAAGCTCAAAAGGCCTCTGACAGTCTTTGTCTTAATGAGGGTGTTTAGACTATGATCAATGTAATTTTATGTTTGCGTTTAGTTCTACAGATCATTGTATTATTTGATTCCTGTTAAACTGCCCTCCCCCTTCCCCCTTTGGCTTATAAACAATAGAATTTTATTTTTGACAGTTCTGGAGGCTTAGAAGTCTGAGATCAGAGTGTCGGGGCACCAGTATTGTCAGGTTCTGGACCTGTGATATCGTGATTTATAATAAGAAATATATTTGGTCTTCATCTGTTTCTGACAGAGCTAAAACCTTTGGAATTTCCTAAGTGATAAGAGCTATAAAGGTGTCCTGATATTCATGACAAACCCTTTCAGCCACATCTGAGTTTCTGTTAATGAAGTGACTTTTGGAAACCCCCTGAGAATGGGTCTGGTTACCAGGATGCCTAACCATGTGATGAGAAGGTCACAACTTTCAGTATTCCTCCCACCCCCCACCTTGGAGGGGGAGAGAGTCCATTGCCAGAGGCCAGCAATTTAGTCAACCTGTTGAAAACTCCAAAGCACATGTCTCATTCAGAGCATTTCTGGGCTGATGAGCAAATGGACATCTGGGAAGCCAGGAGCACCCAGAGTGAGCATGGAAGGAAGATCAGTGTCCGTTCCTGGTGTTCATCTGTCTGTATCTGAGCCTGTTATTAAATGTTAAGTAAGTAAAATGTTTCTCTGAGTTCTGTGAGCTGCTCTAGCAAATTAAGGAGGCGTCTGTGGGAACTTCTGATTTATAGCCGGTCGTTCTTTATCTTTCATTTTAATTTTTTTGCTCACTTTCAATTTTTTCTTTCTGTTTGGAAGTTTTATCATTGTGCATTTTTATAGCAGTTGCTCTAAAGTCTGGAACGTAATTGTAACATCTGCCTTATTTCAGTGTTATTACCTGTTGTTCGTCTTCCCTGCAGGAGTTCAGACATTCCTGGTTCTTTGGGAGCTGATTAGTTTGGATTGAACTGGACATTTTGGATTTTAGGATATGAGACTCTGGGTCTTGTTTAAATCCTTAGGAGAATGCTGATTTTTTTTTTGTTTTAGCTGGCGAACAACCTGGATGATTTAGACTGTGTTTCCTACCTGCCTTCTATGGGTTGTGGCAGTGTCACATCTATCTCAGAGCCTCCGCAGTGCCACTTGGGCCTGTCCCTTGTGTGCCACCCATGGCCATGTGGGATCTATCTGACTGTGGTCTCAGAGATTGGGGTGTGCGAGGGTCCGACCCACACAGCCTGGAGGTGGGCCTGACGTTTATGAACAGCTTTATGGACTTGCTGTTCCGAGCTGCTTTCTCTCTGTACTGCCCTGGGGCTTTTGGGTTCCTTCTCTGCTTCTCCAGCCAGCACCGGGGTTTGGTGACACCCCGCCGCCCATTGCACACCTCCATGCCTGCTTCTTGTCTGGGGCCCGGGGCTGGAGGGGCGGGGGATCCTCCCCTTGATGTCTGGATCCTCTAGCCAGCCTGCTGCTCTTCCCTTCTTGAGCACACTTAGCTGCCCCGAGTGTCCCTTCTGGTGGGGACTGCCCCACGTGTCCTATGTGAAGTCAGAGCTGCGTGGTGTGTCTTGTCTGTGGTTAGAGCCACTCCCTGTGTCCATCCAGGGTCCGAGCAGCATTTAGCGGGGCAGGCCGGACTGGGTCGAGTCCTCTCGTGTTTAGATGCCATCATCTCCATTTTTGTGTTTCTCTGGGCAGCCTGGGAGTTTGTGTTTTCAGTGCTCTGCTGACAGTCCTGACCGTTACCTTAGTCCCTGTAGGCTGAGCCTGTACTCCTGAAGTCCCTGGTGTGGAGCCGCCTCTAGGGCTCTGCTGGTCTCCCTGGGGCAGATGAGGTGTTGGAGGGGATGTTCCCTTCTCCAGCCTGGCCCAATGACGTTCCCTCCTCCGGTTGTCAGACAGTGGCCCCAAGGTGGTAAAGGTGGCAGGGAATGACGGCATGTGTGGCAGCCCATGTGCCCTGCATTGTGACACTCCTGGAGGCCTGGAGAAGCTGTGTTCTGACACCCTTGCCAGCAAGCCCTGGGAGAGATGCCGACTGGTCATGACCATCTCAGCCATCCCCACTGCCGTCGGAAGAGGGATCAGGCCAGTGGGGGCCTGATTTCCACACCCTGGCAGGATTTTCAGGGTGCCGTCACCCTTCCTCACAGGTGGCTCTGTGTTTTGTTGTAGGCCAGGATGGCAGCTCAGGTGACACTGGAGGACGCGCTGTCCAACGTGGACCTCCTGGAAGAGCTGCCTCTGCCCGACCAGCAGCCCTGCATTGAGCCCCCACCATCCTCCCTGCTCTACCAGGTGGGTGCTGGGTGACCGGGAGCACACTGCCTGTAACGCTGACCTCCATGTGATGGCTTTTTTTCTCCCTTTCAGCCAAATTTCAACACTAACTTCGAAGACAGAAATGCATTTGTCACTGGTATTGCAAGATACATTGAACAAGCGACCGTCCATTCTAGCATGGTAATTCCATCAGTGTCTGTCTGTTTTCCTTTGTGGGATTGGCACATCTAAATGGCGAATGTACACTTTTTTTGTATTATCCTGGTAGGATACATAGTGAGGAAAAAGAGAAGAATGGGAACGAAATCCCTAATGTTTTTAAAAAAGCCTTTGTTTTTCGTATTATAAAAACAATATATGCTCTTTCTGCAAATTTAGCATCTACGGCGCAGAGAAAACTTTTGTTAGCATTTTGAGGGAGTCCCTTTTCTCTCTTATAACCTGTACGCACACACGCATTACATGATTTAGATTGCATAAATAAACTGCATTGTTATTATACATTTTAATGATTTCATGAACTTTTTTACTGAGCCATCCTGCCACCTGTTGGCAGCTCAGCAGCAGCTTAGCTCGGGCCAGGACTCGAACCGCTGTTGCTCAGAGCTGGCACTCTTGAGCGAGCTCTTAACCAGCTGAGCCATTTGGCCAGCCCTTGATTTCATGAACTTTTTGTAACTGTCCACAATGTAACTGTTTTTGCATGTTTACTTAGTTTCCTTTCTTTTTTACATTAAAAAAAAATGCTATAATGAACATTTTCTAAATACATCATTCCCTTTGGCTAGATTTGTAGAAGTGAAGTTACTGAGTCAAAGGTTGTGAACATAAGCACATCAAAAACATTACCACATTGGGCCGGCCGAGTGGCGCGATGGTTAAGAACTCGCTTGGGATGCCAGAGGGCCCCGGTTCGGATCCCACATATGAGGGCCAGTGACACTGCCCTCTA